TGCTCCCCAGAGAAGCGGCAGCTCCTTCATGGACCTGCGCTCTCTGGCCGGCTGCTTTCTCTCCTTTCCAGCTTTGCAATCCCAGCCTGGGCCCCTGAAGTATTCAGAGACTTGGGGACACTTGGAGCTCCTTGGTCTCCATCCGGCATTGGAAATGACTCAGCCCAAGCTGCACCTCTCTCCCTAACATCAAGCAGCTGGAGAGGAGCAACCCAAGGTGGCTCCCCTTGGTAGTTCCCACAAGCGGCTGATTATAGCTGGGCCTTCACGTGCTCATAATTCCTGCTGCCTGGGAGGCAGAGGCAGGAGGATCATAAGTCTGAGCTCAGCCTGAGCAACTTAGTGACTCAGTGAGAGCCTATCTCAAAAATTTTTTATAAAAGGGGCTGGAGATGCAGAGGGAAGAGGTGAGCGTGTTCCTGGCTCTAAGTGAGAGATTTTCTCCTCCTGGGTTTCGGCATCCACAGGAAACCCACAGCTCCCTGGCAGGGAGTGAGAAAAACAGGAGCGCCCGGGAGCGCACGGAGGACTCCTGCTGCTTCCCCTGGGCCTGAGTCTGGGCTCTCTCTCCCAGCTCCTGTACGCGCTCCCACCTCCTCGCCTCCTGCCTGTCAGTCAGGACGGAGTGAGGCCAGGCTTGAGAATCCTCAGGGACATCTGCCCCAGGGGTTCTCAAACTCTGGATCACGGATGCCTGAGAGCTGGGTGAAGGGCTCCCCGCCGGCACACCCTGGAAACCCAGAGAGCCTGCCTCCCCAGACTGCGGCGACTAAAGCATAAGCCGCAGTCACCTTCCCTCCAGATGGGCCCTGAGCGCACCTGTGCCAACACAGAGTTGGTGGAGAGCACGGCCCAGCTTTTGCACCCCTCGTGCCCAGCTGCCTCTCTCCACAGCCGCCCCGGCACCTGGCCCTTGAAGCTGGCAGCGCAGGCAGCGGGATTCTGCGTGCTACGAGGTATGATAAAAGACTACGATGAATCCTGAAATCACATTGCCATGAGTGCCCCTGTAAACTCTCCCCCGGCTCATTCCAGCTCTCCGCACACTTTCTGAGGCACTTCTGGAAGCGAAGTCCTCGGTCCTGTCTTTAGTGGTGCTGTCAGGGCTGCCTCGATGTCCTGAACTGATTGAAAACATTCACCTTTCATGGTTATTTTGTTGTTTTTGGTACCAGGGATGGAACTCGGGATCTTGCGCTTGTGAAGCAGGCGGCGTAACCACTGAGCTAAATCCCGGGCTGTCACGGTTATTTTGACGTTGGGGAAGAGCCAGAAGCCATGCAGAGCCAGACGCTGTGAGTAAGGAGGGTGAGGACGCCCCCGCCTTCAGGAGCCGCCTCTCTGTGCGGAGCTCAGCAGCCCCAGCGATCTCCACACACAAAGGAGCACCCCTGGAGCTGCTGCGGAAGTGTCAGGCACAGTGGGAGCAGTGTCTCCAGGTCTGCAGAGCACTTTGCAGGAGGAGGATCGAAGGTCTTTAATTTTTAAATTTTTTATTTTTGGGTACCAGTGATCAAACTTGGGACCTTGCGCTTGTGAGGAAGGTGGTGGCACCACGGAGCTAAACCCCCAGCGGGGCAACGCGTCTTTTCCTGTAATGAATTTGTTAGTGTTTTATTTAAACAGCTGAGCCCAGCCATATTTTGTGATCACAGATTGCAGGGGCATGGCACTGAGGCTCCAGGCGCCTCAGCTCAGGGCTCTTGGCTTCTGACCCACCTTGGGGGACACTAAGATTTCATCCTGAATGAAATCTGAGGGGCAGGTGGGTGTGGGAGGGAGAGGTCTGGGGGAGCTGCTCCTCGGCCTAGGAAAAGATCCACCCTGCCACGCTTGGGTCATGCACCTAGAGGGCCAGTCTGTGAAAAGCCTGGATTTAGCTCAGCGGTGCTGCAGCCTGCCAAGTGCAAAGTCCCGACTTCCATCCCTGGCAGCAAAAACAAACACAATGAAAGCCTGGCTGCTGACCCATCAGCAGAAGGCCTGGTAGAAGGACAGGCCTATTTTGGCTTTTGTGATTTCCGGCTCACAGCCCCTTCCCTGATGCAGTCAATAGGAACAGAATTCCTCTTCCCCAAGGCGGCTGTGGATTCCATCTTCCGGGCCGTCTGCCTGGGATCTTGGGGTGAGGACTCGCCTTGTCCGATAGCAGCTGGTCACAAGGCCTGTCCCGCAGATTCCTGCCCTGCCCGGGAGGAAGGACTCTGCCCGAGGCGCCCCCAGGAATCCGGACAGGCGGGTTCAGCTTTCGCTGGTCCGTCTGCAACATGAGGTCTCACCCTGCTCATCCGCTCACAGTTTTACACACTTGCTCTTTCTGCCCTGGTGGTGCGTCTGTAGAAACCCCTGGGGCCGGGTTAGGAAGCTATGGAGGTCCGTGCCTCTCCCTGGGGTCACGGGCCACCGCCTTTCCAATAACGCAGCGAGCGCTTTTCCCTGCGTCCTGGGAGCCGCCTACCCAGGGGCCCTAGGTGGGAAGCGGAAGCCCCGATGTAGATGTAGGATGAGCGGTGGGTTCGAGGCACAAGCAACCGCACACCGGGGCTCGCGGCGACATCTGGGGGCACCGGGGGCCGTGGGCAGGAGGCTCTCTCCGGTAGACGCTTCGGAACTGCTCCGGAGGCAGGGAAGCCGCCGGTGTCCCCACTGCAGAGCAGGGAAGTCTGCATGCTCTGAGGCCGCAGGAGGGACGTGTGTGTTGCAGTGGAAAAAGAGTCTGTTTCCTGGGGCCCACAGGAGGCCTCTCCGGAGGGACCCCCTGTCTAAGGTTGAGCAGGAAGCTGTCCCGGGGTCCCATCCCCATTATAAAGCAAGGGGTGGGGGGCACACAGCTCCAAGTTATATTAAATCCCTCAGCAATTTTCCCTCAAGGAAGAAAGCATTCTGCTCTCTCCCGCAACTTGACTTTGGAAAGTGACTGGCATTTTGCAATAAAACTGGCCCTGAATAGTCTTGGAGCAGCACACAAATAATAAAGACAGTGGCCAAGACTTCCTTATCCGCTGATAGCCCTGGTCTCCATCTCCCTGTATTCACAGAGATTGGAACTCATGACCTTCTCAAGTACAGATCACATTTCCCAGTCTTCCTTGTAGTGAAGTGACCCATACAACTAAATTATGGCGCAGCAGAATTAAACAAAGATGGTATATGCAATCTAGGAGTTCCTTAGAGGAAATGAGTGTCTTATTCTTCATTTCTTCCACCTACTTGCTGACCAGAATTTGGATTGATAGCTGGAGCTCCAGCAGCCATTTTGGGCCATGAGTTCACTTGAAATATAAAATTCTCGTACACCCGAAAAAACAAGATGGAGGGAACGTGGGTGCCCAACACAATGGAGTACCACCCAGACTTGCACTGGTTGCCCCTGTAGATGTGAAAATGAATGATGAATATATTTTCATGAAGTCAAATCTATTGTTTTGTGAAATTTTTCTACTTGTAGTCAAACTTCCTCATCACTAATAAAACACCAGAATACCACAGTCAAGGGAAGATGGTGGATCCTGTGGGAGCATCTTTATTTGAAGTCTGAGCCTGCCTATATTACTATAGTGTATTTGGACTCGCGTTCTCACCCCAGCCAGACTCTTCATTCAGGAAGGGGCTGGCTGTAGTCGCTGCAGAACTGAGAGGGACAGCAAGAGGCTGAGAGGACAGAGGACGCATCCCAAGCTCAGGGCAGAGCACATTGTGTTCTGCTTCTTGCTCCTTTGCTCTTTCATTTAACCGGCAGTGTCCAACTCTGTGCCTAGTGCTATGTAGTATCTCACCTAACCCTCACTGTTACGTTTTCTACCCAGATGTTGCCCAAGAGTCTCCTGTACTCATAGGTGGGGCTTTGGGAGAGTGATTGGATTATGGAGACAATAGAGCTGATTTTCTATCAGGAGGTGGCGTCAGGTCAGATGAGATAGCTCACTAGGTGCATGACTTGAAGGGTTTATCTCCCTTCAGTCTTGCTTCTCTATTGATCTCTCTTTCCTACCCACCATGCTGGGGCAGCTGCCCTCTCCCACACCCCTCTGCCATGCCGAACAATACCTCTCTCAGAGTTCCTGGAGCGACTGAGAGATTGGACTGCCTGGAACACAGGCTGTGAGTGCTTCCTTCTTCCTCCCTTCTGGAGACCCACTGCAGACCCTCAGGAAGTTCTCCACGGGGAAGCTTCACCCTGGCCATCAGCTGACCCTGTCACCCTCTGCCCTGCTCGCCAGCCCATTTGCACTGCTCAGGTGCTGCGTGGCTGTGTCCCTGGGGAGGAGATGGGCTGGGGTGCAGTCACCACAGCCTGTGGTCGAGGTGGCTTGGAAGCTGGCCATCGTCCTGTTCCTCTGGATACTGTGTGGTGAGGTCCCAGGTGTGGCTGTCACATGCATGCCAGGACATGTCCGGAGTCAGGGACATTTTGCAGAGAAAGTAAATCCACAAACACTTCCTTGAGTCTTAACCACCCAATTCTGCTCCCCTGATGTGACACAACAGACAGTGCTGATCTGAGGGTCCCCGGCATGTGGGCCTGGCACTGGACAGAGAGCCTGCCTCCTCCGCCTTCCTGCGGTGTGGCTTCGCGGCTCCTGGAGAAGGTAGTGCCGTCTCCTGCAGAGAGGCCGAGGCCACTTCCTGGGGACGCTTGCCTCCTCCTCAGGACTCACGGTGACTCCAGTAGTCCTCGGAGACCTTACTAGTCTCTCTGGAAAGGCAGATTTGTATCAAAGACTGCTGAGGAGTCTAAAAGCCTCCTGGTTAACAGTGTCGAACCTGAGGCCCCTGGACTGCTAAGGGATTTGGGCACGGGTGCTGAGCTTGAGTGCAACGCTATGGGTCCACACGGTGTGACTGAAAGATGCAATGACTTAAACATTTTATTGCAGCGAAAGACGCATCATCATTAATCCCCCTCAAAGTTCTCCCCTCACTTTGAACACCCTTATCCCACCCCTCCTGCCCCTTTCTGAAGCAGCTCTGGAGTCCTCTTTCATGTGTCTTTTGTTGAGCTGCTATAGCTGCCTCTGTGTCCCAGACTGATGCCAAACGTGTGTCCTTTATGGTCATTCGACTCTGAGGCACTGCCAGAAGCCACACAGCGCCAGCTCTGGTGAAGGAGATGGATGAGGACACGCTGTTATGTTGTTACAACTCTGCTTCTCTCTCTCTCTCTCTCTCTCTCTCTCTCTCTCTTTTTAGTTTTTTGAGACAGGGTCTCACTATGTAGTTGAGACTGACCTGGAATTCACTATGTTGCCCAGGCCGGTCTTGAACTCACAGCGATCCTCCTGCCTCAGCGTCCTGAGTGCTGGGATTACAGGCATATGCTGCCATGCCCGGCTCTCTGCTTCTCTTTTAGTGGCATTTAGCAGCAGCATTCACTGTACTTTTTAGCACATACCGCAGACACTCAGAAAAGAGGACATTCAGAACCACTTCAGAAGGCAGCAAGGCCTAGTGTAGGTTGTTGAAATGAGCCGGGGTATTGTGAAGGGGATTGATGGCAGTGTCTCTTATTGTGACCCATTTTTAATATTAAACACCTGCTGTGCTTTTTGCTCAGCCTTTGTGCATATGTGTTTGTGGCAAGAAGATCCCCCATGCTTTTCGGCTTCTCAGAAGCAACCTGTGTACAACTCTGGCCAGAGTGACAAAGAACTCACCAAGGATCGAGGTGTTGACAGCTCAGCCTCCTCCTCCTCCAGGTCCCACAACCTCCATCCTCAAGGTCACTGGGGCTGTTAGAGCAAAATGGTGAGCAAATAAATACCAGCAAATATAAGGACTGTGGAAACAAAGCTCAGAGGAGAAAACAACAACAAAAACCAGAAACTACATCCACTATGACTGAGTCATACGTTCAAAGGGAGAACCTCCTTTCCTTTTCTTTTCTCTTTTATTCCTCTGTGATTTCCAGATTTCCTATGAAAGAGCATTTAATTATCACCGTAAAAAGGAACACTTATTTAGGAAAAACAAATCCCGGAATTAAATGAAGCTTCTCCACTCAGCCCTTCTTTTGATATTTTCCTGGCTTCTTAAAAGTGTTGCCATTGATGAACTTTATAGAAGAGTTTCTGGGGGAATTAACTCTTCTGGGGAAAAAACGTAGAATTCTAACCAATGCATCCATCGTCACTGAAAATACTGAGCTGAAGGAGTCGATGGCAACGCTTTAGAGGGCATTTTCATGCTCTAAATCGTAGCCTGTGTTCTTTAGAAAGACGCCTTCTTCTGGGCAGTTTGGATGCCGCAGAGACTTCAGTTCCTCTGAGCTACTGCAAAGTTTTCCTTCTTCGAGAACCACCTGGAATTTGATGGGCTAAATTTGCCCTGAGATATTGCTCAAGTCAACCCTCTGTTTTTCTATTCTTAACTTCAGTGAGGGTTTAAAAAGTCTTGATTTTAAACTGCTGCTTCAGCCGATGAGAGTTATTAAGCTCTGTATTTATAAGATTTCCTAGAACAACTTTTTTTCCCTAGAATAAATAAATTGGCATACAAATTCTTGCAGTGAGTTGTGATTGTAGCCATAAACATCTCTCTTGCCTTTTCAAGTCCTTGGTGATCCTTCCCTAGTTCTGGCCTTAAAAGAAACAAATTAGATGTCCCTATTTTATGGGACCTCATCCTAGACTATTTTGACTCTTCTGGGGCTGGTATTTAGGTAGTTTAGAGTCTCCTAACATACAAAAAACATTACATAAAATTGTTCTCATCTTGATAGAGAAAAACACACTGTTTTATTTACCCGTTTAGATGTTAAAATCAAGCCCACTAATCCCTGTCTGTTTATATCCAGCCATGTGATCTTCTAGGCTTTCACACTAAATTTGTATGGATAAAAATAATTTAAATGAAAAGAAAAAATATGAGAAAATGAAAAAATGGAAATGAAAGGTTTGTAAAGGGGGAGGGGAGGAGGGGGTGAAGAGACGGCAGGGACAAGGGGAAAAAATGAGAACCAAGACCTGTCATATAAAGGTACAAGATCCCAATGATGAATGTAACTATACTGTACACCTAAAATGTACCAATAAACTCAATGAGGAAAATAATAATTTAAATGGGTACAACTCATTTGTCTTTAAATGTACATCTGGCTCCAAGCCCCGATTTGACCTCTCACTAGCTGTGAGTTCTGGCCAGCTCTCCCTTCTCTGGCCCCTGTCTCTGAACAGGGTGATCGGATTCACCTGGTAAGATGTGAGAATGCTGGAAATAAAATATATGATGGTAGCCAGGCGTGGTGGCACACAGCTGGAATCCCAGCACTCAGGAGGCTGAGGCAGGAAGATCACTGTGAGTTGGAGACCAGCCGGGGTTACACAGGGAGTTCCAGGTCAGTCTCAACTACATAGTGAGATCCTGATCCTGTCTCAAAAAACAAACAAACAAAAACCAAAACTATATATATAATATATATAGGCATTGTTGGTATAGTGGGTAGAACAGAGTATATATTTAAATTCATGTCCCCACCTGGTTCTGAGAATGATGTCAATTTAATTCAGTTGAGCAAATATTAATTGAGCATTTATTATGTGCAAAGTCCTAGAGATACCAACTCTCCATCCATGCTTTGAAGATTGTCACTGCCTTCTAGGGAGGACAGAGCCTTGTCCTGTTCTAATTAAACCAGACTGCGAAACCTACATTAACTGAAGTATAAAGAAAGCACTCCAGAGTCCTAGGAAAAGGAGCCTTCGTTTCATCTGGCAACTTTTTAGAAAAAGATCATAGAGTGTCAAACTGGCCCTTGAAAGAGGAGCAAGATTTTTGGAAATCAAAGGTGAGGAAAGAGCATCATAAGAACCAACAGCACGAACAAAGACAAGGAGAATACATGTGTGTGGAGTACTCTAGGAATATGCTCAGCCCCCCGCCCCGTACCCATGGATTTTACACCTTTGTAGTCAACCAAGTATGCATTTAAAATATTCAGAAAAAATTGTCTGTGCCAAACATACACAGACCTTATTTTCTGGTCATCATTCCCTCAAGATTGCAATACAATGACTACTTACAAAGCACCTACCTTGTAGTGGGTGCCATAAGTAATCTAGAGACCATTAAAGGGTGCAGGAGGGCGAGCACAGGTTTTATGGAAGCACTGTGCCACTTTCTATAAGGGACTTGGCCTCCGTGGGTTTGGGGATCCATAGGAGTCCCAAAGCCAGTGTCCGATGGATATCAGGAGGCAGGGGACAGCTGTGCTCTGGAGGGGCCGGTCTCCTCCAAGAAGCGACAAGACAGCTGGAAGCCAGCCCCATGTGCCAGAGCAGGTCTCGGGACCCCAGAAGGAGCCGAGCAGACACCGGCTGTCTGTATCCACTCACGGGCACCTATTTCCTGAGCTGTGTGCCAGGCCCTGGCTGAGGCCCTCCGTCGTGAGCAGTGGGCCAGGCACAGCCCCTCCCGTCACAAACCACGGGTGCTGCTGGGACCGACAGACAGAAGGCAGAGGGATGCATGGATACAACTTGAGAGGACTAGTCTCGTGCAGGAAAGGACAGCCTAGGGGATGAACGAGAGCCGCTCTTTCCCGTGGGGTGCCCGGAGATGTCCCCCCAAGGTGACATGTAGCAGAGTCCGGAGTGCAGTGACCACGTTTCGTGTGCCCACGGGACAGCACAGGGCTGGGGTTCTGGGCAGCGCCAGTCCTCCCTGCTCACCGCCCCAGCACAGCTGAGCCCCGAGCCGGGCAAGGCTGTCTTCTCACCACCACTCTCTGCCTGGCGGGCAGGTGGGGGTCTGAGGCCCTGGCAGCTCGGGGCTCCTGGAGGGTTTCCTGGGACCTGCCAGCCTCAGGCTGGAGCTTTGCTCTTTACCTATCTAGCCTGGGATGGAGGAGCCCTGTTCCTAAGACAGACACACAGGACGCACAGCTGCGGGCCACATTCAGATGGGACACAGCGGGGGCAGATCCTGGTAAACGGCAGGGATCCGAGACAGGGCCACGTGCGACCCGGTGTCGGGCACATGTGGACCGTGGACCGGACTGAGAGCCGCTGGGCGCACACAAAGCCTGCAGCAACTTCTGTCTCCAGAGGAGGAGAGAAGTGGCAGAGGGCCCTCCTGAGGAAGGGGGTGGGGATTGCAGCGCAGGCTGGCTGAGCTGGTGCCAGCATCAGGGCTAACTGAAGAGGTGTCTGGGGGAACTGTGACACTTTATGCTGCGCTCTTACCCCATGTTCATCGCGCAGTGTGTGGTGCCCACCCTGCAAGCACCCTGCATGAGTTGCTTCTACTGCCCAGGCAAGACAAGGACCGCAGAAGTGTCCCCAAGGGGGAAGGACAGTGACATCGGTGGTTCCAGCTCCCTCTCAGCAGCACAGCCGCCCTGTTAGGGCCCGAGTTGGGTCCCCTCCCCACAGCTCCTGTGTGGAAGTCCTAAGCCCGAGTCCTTCACAGTGTGACCTTCCAGTGGAACAAGGGTTACGGCGCCGTTATTCAGGAAAAGGGACGGGCTGTGCGCGGACCCTAATCTATCAGGACTGGCGTCCTTTGAAAATGGGGGAAATCACCCGAAAGAGCTGAAGACGAAGTATTACAGAGACGCAGGCACACCCATCTCCAGCAGCACAGTTCTTGGAGACAGCATACACGCCACCAGCAGACAAATGGATAAAGAAAACGTGGGATTTCCATACAACGGAGCACCACTCTGCCGAAAGGAGAGATAAACTGGGTCGTTCGTGGGAAAATAGATACATCTTGAGACCTAAAAGTTTAGTACAATAAACTAGACACACAATCTTTATATCTACCTCATGGTTTCCGGTAGATGAGAAACCAAAGTACAAATCAATCAAAAAGCAAAATAACAAATAAGAGAACCCGGGGAGATGTATCTTTTGCACAGAGGAAAGGGACCAGGAGATGAAGAAGGGGGGCAGGACAGAAAGGAAAGAGGATGTAAAAAAGAATTAAGATGCGTTAGGTGCACATCCCAGCTCCTTGGGATAAATGTAATCATTTTGTACTGCAAATATGTACTAATAAAAAAAGATTTTTCTATGGTCAGTATCAAAGTAAAAACACAGGACGGGGGACTTAGCTCAGTGGCCCTGCACCTGCCTTCCGAGTGCAAGGTCCTGAGTTTGATTCCGGTACCAAAAAGAAAAAAAAGAAAAAAAAGGAGAAATTTGGACACAGAGATGGACAAGCATGAGGGGAAGATGACGTGAGCAGACAGGGAGGAGACGGTGACCTCCAGGCGGGGACCAAGGCCTGAGCGAACCCAGCCACTCCCTGGGAACCGTGGGACAATCACTTAGGCCACCCCCCTGGTGGCACTCTTACTTCAGCTCTAAAAAATCTGTACCCATGAGGCAGGAATTGTTTCATAGTGGAGGAAACTGAGGCTGGAAGGCGGGAAGAGGAAGGCCGCTTTGGTTTCTGGGGTTTGGAAGCCTGGAATCCCTCCCTGCCTTGCGGCCCCTAATGGGGAGAGCACGGCCCCGGGGGATCTGCGGTTTCCAACAGAACTCGCAGAGCTTAACTCTCAAACTGGAGAAGCCTCTGTAATTACTGCTCGCCCTCGTCCTTGTTTACCTGGCCAGGTCCTGAGTGAGGCCCGGCTGGGCAGACCAGAGAGCTGAGCCTGCGCTGGCAGCCTGGCCCCCCGGGGAATTGTTTGAACATGCAAACGCAGCCCTGCTCTGTGTCACCCTCCAGGAGGCCTGGCACCTCCACCTGCTGGCCTGGGCTCTGATGCTGCCTTTTGTAGCCAAGGAAACCCAGGCTCAAGGAAGCAGAGAATGCGCTGAAATCCCAACCAGCGAGGAGCAGAGCTGAGAGTGAAAACACACACCCGTTTCCCTGTCTCCAAGGGGCGCATGTGGGACCCTCCTGAGAGCTGCTGTCCACACGGCTGTCCTCACTGGGGAGGACGGGAATTTGAGAAAGGACCACCTCCTCCTCTGACCCTCCGCACCCTGGCAGGGTCGCTCCCGACAGGGCTGCTTTCCCCGCCTGCCTTCCTGGATTCGCCTCTGGGATCAGGGATTGGGGCACCTGCCTCATGTAGAGGCCCCGAGGTGACCGCCTTACTGCGCCAGCTGTGGTGGAACAGACTTCTCCGCACACAGCAGGCTCCCGCCCGGCTCCTAAGAAGACAGGGTCTCCCGAGCTCCACCTTCCGACTCCATCTCTTCATCCGAGAGGTCGGCTTCCCTGTGGTGCTCTGTGAGACCAGGGCTGCCACTTCAGAGGAGCGAGGAGATTAAGGAGCAGAATCATCCCCCTCGATGTGCTCCACGCGCCAAGCAATGATTGGGCTGTGTATTCATATCCTGCCCTGGGAGCCCCGAGGGGGCGACTTCCTAGGCTGCAGATGGGGGCTCTGCACTGCCATGGGGACCAAGAGGGGGACAGGCTCACCCCAGTACAGCAGAGAGAGAATCAGGCAGAGACAGAGAAAAACAAGAGGAACGGGGTGGGGAAGGGGAAGAAATAGGGGCAAACGGAAGGAAAAGGGTTAACAAGAGGAGACGGAGATGGTCTTCCAAGAGCATCAGGTCATGGATTGGCCATGGCTACGACACTCTTGTCTTTTCCTTTATTCATGTGTGTGTGTGTGTGTGTGTGTGTGTGTGTGTGTGTGTGTGTGTGTATTGAGGTTAACAGAAAAATTAACCATTTTTAAAAAGTGGCATTCCTGTGCTACAAAAACTTCTGTGGCATTTAACACATTCATAACATTGGGCAGGGCCACCGCTATCTAGTTGTTGAAATGTTCTTAATGTCCTAAAAGAATCCCTGTTCTCCTATATCAGTTGCTCTTCAGTCCCCAGCAATCATCCATCTGCCTCTATCTCTGTGGATTTACGTATTATGGGCATTTACCATAAATTTACAATATATAATTTAAAATAAATCGAATCCCGTAACACCTTCTTCTAGCAGCCCGCAGAATATCAAATTCAGCTCTGAAGGGAGCTCAGCGGCCATTTTCGGGTTTGTTGCATTGTAACCTTTGCTGAGACTGTACCGTGTACGATGATGAAAATCACACGTTTCGTGGTAGAAAGTCTGGGAGTAGAGGAAACCCGAAGAAGATGAGGGCTGCTGAGGTCCCTTCCCTGAGGAAACCTCTGCCCGCCTCCCACTGTCCCCTCGCTGAGGTGGATGCCGCCCACGTGGGTGCGGTGTGCCCGGGCTGACTTCTCAGGCTCTCTCAGTCTTATGTCCTCTGCTGTAAAAGTGGGGGTGATTACAGCACCCACGTCACAGGTTTGTCGGGGGACCCCTGAGTAAAATGGTGTGAGGCCCGTATGCATTCCATCAATGCGGTGCACTCCAGCTAGTTTTTTTGTTTTTGTTTTCTGGTACTGGGGATCGAACTCGGGTCCTTGCTCTTGCGAGGCACACTCCAGCTAGTTTTATGGCTTTTTTTTCTTCCAGCAATGCAATGAAGACTATTACGTCCATGAGGAAGAAACTAAGGGTCTGGGAGGTCAAGCGCCTCACCCCAGGACAGAAGGAAACATCTTTTTGGAGGACCGCTCTATGCTGGCTCATTGCCCTACTTCTGGAAAGGGAGGTGAGGAGGTGCCCAAGGTCATCTGCTGGGTCGGGCTGGATTTAGCAGCAGTGTCCTGTGCTCCTCCACCCTGTCCCATGGCCCTCCCGTGAACAGAGGCCCCTGGCCTGGGATTTGGACTCACTCGGCAAGGCTCCCTCACCTGTGTGTGGCTGCCGGCATCTGCCTCTGCTGTCTTGCTTTCACAGAGCTGCTCTTTGCTTCCTCCCTGACCTCCTGCTCCTGTCATCTCCTGGCTGTTACTGGAGGAGCCCAGGCGGTGCTTCTAGAAGAGCAGAGGCCAGCAGCACTGCGAAGTTGGGTTTGCGGGTCCCCGTCTTCTGTCCTGGAGCTGGCCGGGCACCGTTTCGCACAGCCTTAGACCCCGGCCTGCCCACTAAAGATGTCTCCTCCCTGCAGCCGCCCAGCTCTGTCCTGCAGGAGGGTTGAGTTCTCAGAAACCAGCGAGGGGCCCTGCAGAGTGTGGGGAAGCCCAGAAGGCACAGTCTCAGGCCTGGCTCCTTGTCTAGAAATAGTACCGGCTGGCTCCAAGATCCTGTTACCAAAACAATTCGACTGGCCAGAGAGCTTTCCTGAGATCCACAGGAGGCCACGAGCCTGCTGCCTTTTCCCAGGATGCTAATTAAAAACACCACTAGGCCAATGGAGCATCATAAATAATTCAACTTGGAGGAGCTCAGGGACTCAGGGATCACGCTGCTGCTCAGACTCCTTGGCTCTCGTGGGTTCTTGCAGCTCTGTCCTTCAGGGTTGCTCTTGAAGGGATGTGGATGCTTCCCAGGCTCTTGGAGAAACAGAGCTGCTTCCTGGGCTCTCGGAGTGACGGGGGTGCTTTGAGATGTTGGGGAGAGGGAGGTGCTTCCCAGGAGGCAGCTGCCCCCAGGTCCCTGGGGTCCCTGGCCCTAGGGCTCACAGAGCTACGGGGCGAGGCTGCCTGTGCAGCTTGTCAGGTGGGATTTGCGTCTGGAAGCAGCACCCCTCTCCTTGGTGGAATTTCAGAGCCTGTCCCAGCTGGGGACTCGGCGTGGACTTGGATAGGCTGCTGTTCTCTGGGCTCCCAGGTTAACCAATGACATCAGTCTCCTGCTGTCAACACTCTGTAAGCAGAGTCCCAGGGACCCGCCTGACACGGAAACCCCATGAGCTGCCTTTGAGTTGCCGTGGGGTCGCAGGTATGGTGAAGCAGTGGGAGAGGTCTGAAGACACCAGCATCAGTGGAAATGAGGGCCCACCGAATACTCACTAACGGCCCAGTGCTCCTCCCAGTGATGCACAACGTGCAACCCAAGCCCCGTTCCTTAACTTCGCAGGAAGTGTGCACTTCCAGTACAGCTTTCAGGAGCCAGCCGGGTTCAGGAGGTCCTTGAGCCGCTTAAAATCACACACGGCCAGTTCAGGGTGGGCAAGAGGGCTCACTGCGGTGTTAACGCAGACGAATTAAGAAATGCCTACAGCCTGGTGTGGTCCCAGCACTATGATCCCAGCACTAGGGAGGCAGAGGCAGGAAGATCACCAGGAGTTCAAAGCCAGCCTGAACTATGTAGTGAGACCCTGTCTCAAAAAACAACAAAAACCAAAACAACAACAACAACAACAACAACAAAAAGAAATGCCTACAAATGACTCAAGCTTATCTTTACAGCCAAGTAGTACTCAATCGTGTATAAACACCGCATTTTCTCTATCCATTCATCTGCTGATGGACATATAGCCTGCTTCTAAGATTTAACTACTATGGATTGTGCTGCTGTAAACATGGGTACACATGTCACTGTAATGTGATGTCTTCAGCTTTCGGGAAGAAACCTAGAAGAGGACAGCTGGGTCGAATGGAATTTCTAGTTTTAGGTTTTTGAGGAATCTGCATACTGATTTCCACAGCGGATATACTGGTTTCTCCTCCCATTGACAATGCAGATGGCTTCCTTTTCCCCTGCAGCTTTACCAGCATCTGCTATTATTTGATTTCTTGGTGAAGCATTTGCAGGAAAATGGATACAACTTGAGACCATAAATATTAAGAGAAACAGATGCACACGCTTAAATATTGAATGCTACCTCTTATGGGGAAACCTAAGTTATGAACAAGGAGCAAAAGCAAAGATCGTTTATAGGGAGTAGGGAGACGGCTCTTTCTCAAATGGGAAGGGAACCAAGAGGTTGGGAGGAGGAGGAAGGCAATGGAAGGCAGTGGATGGGAAGGGGATGAACTCCACACAAGGTGTGTGAGCGGGCACTGCAAACATGCGCTGATAAAAGAGGAGGAGGGGGGGGAGGAGGGAGAGGAGGAGGAAGAGGAGAACTGGGGTCCTTGTGCTCCCGAGGCAGGTGGCGGAACCACTGAGCCAAATCCCCGGCCCCTCCTTTGGACACTTGTCTCCACTTCCTTCAGCCCTCCCAGCGCAGTCTCAGCTTTCAGATGTGGGTTTGCACAGGGCTGTGCAGCGAGTGCCCAGACTTCGGCCTGTGCCTTCGCCGGCTCCTCAGACTCTCCAGGGCACACAGGGCCCACTTACCCTCTTCCACCCCGACTCGGCAGGTGGCCGCCGTAAGCCTACTCAGTAAACCCCGTTACACTTGGGTACTCGGGCATCTTCATGTAGCTTACTTGTGCCTTCCGGACCTGCTTGGGCTCCACTTCCGTTTAGTGTCTGACTGTGGCTGGCTGCCTTCACCTTTATGCCCTGGTGGTCGGAAAGTTCTCAGTGGGCAGCTCAGGTTGCAGTCAGCGTCCACGAAGGGCCAGGAGCAGCCCGAGAGCGGCTTTGCAAAGGAAGAGGAGATACCAGTGTCCGCAGATGACCCCTGCAGTGGGCCGGGGCCTGACAGAGGCCAAGGACCACCAGGATGGCCTGTGAGGCTACTTATCTGGGACAGGAAGAAGCAATAAGTTGTCGCGCGCACCTCGCCAGCAAGGAGCACGCAACACTCAGGATTCTTCTGATGCACGCTTTATTGGAGTTTCTTCTACAATCTTCAATGGCGGAAAGACCCCGAGCCGGATGCAAGCCTGCCTTTATATCCACCCGGGCGTCATGGCCTGTTTCTATTGGTCAATGCCAGCCTGCATCATTCTGACGAGCCAAGCGCCTCATCTGCGCAAGCGCAAACCACCGTCACCGGTGGACTCAAACCCGGAATTCATGTAGGGCATGAAGAACCCGGAAATAATGGCACGTGACAATAAGTGACTGTGAGTTCCAAAGCAAAAGCCCCATCAACCGAAAGGAAAACGGTAAGAGAAGGGTGCAGGTGGCCTTCCAGCGGAGGGGCTCCCAGGTGACGTGGCCATGCATGCCCGGTACAGTCTCCCAGGCCCGGCTCCTGCTCTGCCCAGCCAGGTGTCGATGAAGTAAAGTCTTGGCATTGAAGATTCCGTAGTCTGTGCGTGGACTGGCAACATTTCTATCCTAAGAATTTGAGTTGTGGACAGTGATGAGAGAAGTCAGCTTTCCACTCAGAATAACTTTGTATCATATAACCTAAGAGTTAGTCAGGGAATAAATACTGTGCCCCCATCCATAGCTAAACCTTTCTTTCTTTTGTTTACTATGAAACGCCTGTTGTTTTCAAATTGTGCGTTTGAATCTTTTTGTTTTTGCTTTTTTTTTTTTTTTTTTTTTTTTTAATGTGTGTTTGAATTTTTTTTTTTTTTTTTTCTTTTTTTTTTTTTTTTTCAGTACTGGGGATTGAACTAGGAGCTTCTTGCATGCTAACAAGGGCTCTACCACTGAGTTATAGCACAGTTCTTTTTACTTCAAAGTAACAACTTGCTAAGTTGTCCAGTCTGGCCTTGAACGTGTGACCCTCCTGCCTCAGCCTCCCAGGTAGCTGGGACTCCAGGTGTGCACCACCACACCCAGTTTAAATGTCTTTTCGGGAGTAAATTTTACCTTGTTTACTATAATTCTGTCTCTTTATAAAGCTGTACTTACAATGCATGTCAAATACACACCGCTTATTTTCACTTGTCAGTACCAGGGCCTGGTTCCTGACGTATCTCAGGACGCAAAGCAACAAGAGTCTTTCTGGAAAGGCGCATGAGCAGGGTGGGGAGACCCTTGAGCCTTATTCAGGAGAAAACAGAACCTGCAAGGCAGGAAGAGGGCCCTGGCTTCCTGCTGTGGATGGTACTCTTGGTTCTTCCTGAATGCAGAGTTTTTGCGAGCTAGTTAAAGTGTTGTCGCAAAGGATTTCGTGCCTGTGATCTGTAGCTTCTTGTGCAGAAGGATGACAGGCTGGTGCTGAGTCAAGCTGCCTGCCCAACACCCACGTCTCAACTCAGGTGCGTCGGACGACTTGCTGCGTCTCGGGGCAGCTTGGGCAGCAGCGCGTGAGTAGGGAACTGCAGGTGCTTTGCTTTGCGGTCTGTTCCCTGAGCACGCAGGCGCTGTGTGGCAACGGAGCATGCGCGGAGGTGTTACACGGCGTGCGACTGCGAAGGAAACACTGATGGTTCCTGGGGGTGGCCTCGGCCCCACTCTGTAGGCACCTGATGGGCCTGTGAGGCCGCACGCGGCTGCGGAGAAGACTGGATCTCTGCCCAGCCAGTCTCTGTCAGCCGTTCTCGATGAACAAAACATTACCTGATCCGCCCGGATAAATTCTCATCGCTGTGGGGAGTTGGTACACGGACCTACCGCTCCTGAATTCTTTCCTCCTCTCCCTCCTCCCTGCCTTCATCTCTTGGTCTTCTTCCCATTTGAGAAAGATCTATCTCCCTGCTTCCTATTATGTTTTATTTTGTATTTTATTTATACTCTGGGTTTCTCACTTGAGAGAAACCATGTGGTGTTTGAACTTGAGTGTCTGATTTATTTCACTGGACATTACGGTCTCAGTTTGCATCCATTTTCCTACAAACGATTCAAGTTAGCGTGCTCTGTACCAGAGTGTAGAAACTCCACATTGCCTTTATCCATACATCTGCTGCTGGGCTACTCCTAAGATTTGGCTGCTATGAAGTGCGCTGCTGTAAAGATGGGTGTGCATAGATCTCTGTGATTACTCCTTCAGAAAGATACTCAGAAGGGGCATAGCTGGGTCCAGAGGAATTTCGTTTCAGTGTTTTGAGGAATCTCCATCCCAGCACTTTTTGACTTGACTTTGATTAAGGGGTCAGAGTGATAAGTCACACATTTGACATCCTATAGTCCAGCTGTGCTCCTGTGGTCTGCGTGGCTGACCCTCCCGCCAGCCCTGCCTGTGTCCTTGCTGGCAGTTCTGGGTGTCCACGCTGCCGTGAGCTCCAGTGCAGGGAGATGCGTCTGCTTAACCTCGATCTGTTGGGGTCTCCTCATTGCCATACCTGCCATAGACGCAGCCTTAGCTCTTGAGAAGAAAAGAGGTCTCTCGCAGATTTCTGAGAAAGGCTTTCCTCCCTGACGAAAAGGACATGTGAGGAGAAACGGCCCTTCCCACTCTTGGGCACGAGTCTGTGAGCATAAACTATTGCTGTGGCCCTCACTGTATACCCACCCAGGAGACAAATCTGAAGCCAAAGTCAGTGAACTCGGGGGCTGTAGGCCTTTGATAGCACTAAATCGAACAACTCAAACCAAGCAACCTGCTTCCTCTTACCTTTTGAGTTGCTCTTCCATCAGACAATAAAGCCTTTGTTCTTTTAGCCTCAGATTTCCAAACATGAATGGGCACCCAGAGTCATGTAGAGAACTGCTTAGAGCACAGCAACTGGGATTCGGTGGGCGGAAGTAACACGCTTTACACTTCTAACAAGCTTGTTGGCAACGCCGAAGTGGATGTCCATCCAGAGAGAAGTTGACTTAGGTGCCCAGAAGACTGTGGGCGAGCCTCGGGTGTGGCTGACTCCCAGGGGCTCAGGCTATGTTACCAGGGCTTTGCTAATTTTAGTTTTTCTTGTCATTGACCAAGTTTTTCAAGTAGAGAATCTGATGGCAATCACCTGGGGAATTCCATCCCACTGCAGTGGACTAGGATTCCAGAGGAGAGTGTTTGGCCTGCTCAGGGGCCACATGTCAACCCCAAGAACCTGCTGCAGAGGGCAAGAAAATACACAGCTGTGTTAGGAAGTGACCACGACAGCCATGTGCAAGGTACTGTGGTTTACAACAAGCCCAGAGAGGTATGGTGGGGGAGAGCAGTTGGTGTTTAAACTAAATTATCTTTGTAGCATTTTCATTTAAATGTGTGTGCGCACACACACACATATATGAAAACAAATTATCAGAAGTTTTTTGAGACAGGGTCTTGCTGTGTAGCTTAGGCTGACCTCAAATTCATGATCTTCCTTCCTCCGTCTTCCAAATCTTGGGTTTACAGATGTGGGTCACCCCTTCCAGCTATTAGAATTCTTTTTTTTTTTGATAGCTGGGGTCAAACTCAGGACCTTGTGCTTGCCAGGCAGGCAGGTGTGGCAGCGCTGAGCCACATCCCTGGCCCTCAGAATTCTTGTTGCAGAATTTGAGCCCAAAAATGTGACCCCTGTTGCTGTAGCACTTATTTGATCTGATAGCTCCTAAGATTAGATTACGTTAGATTACAGGGACCCTGAGAAGAGGAAACACTTCTTTCATTCACTCTTCTATTCAACAAATATTTGTTGGTCCTGCTAAATAGCTGGAGCAGGGAACGTCACTGGTAAGGCTGAGTCTGGTCTAGGGGTAGGTTACATTTGGACCATTGGTCTCCCTGAGTACCAGGCGGCCTGGGAGAAGCAGCAACGCAGCAGAAAGAAGGACTTCGTTACACTGTACTAAAACAGAAATGTCAATAAGTGCATGATCACATTATTGCCACACACACACACACACACACACACTGCCACGAAGTACTTACAGAGTCACACAGATAACAAGAAGGAAAGAGGGAGGGGACAAAGGATCCTGTGAAGCCCACTAACAATGTCTCCTGGAACCTATATTTATGGTAAGGTCTTCTGCAGTTGAACCAATGTGATGGAACCATCAATGTGTACAAACGGGGGTGCACTACTTGTACGTGCAAGTGGATCAATTCTTACTGCACCAAAGCCATGAGACAGCACGCTGGTTTAGTGAGGCCACCGTCATAAGACTCTTCCAGTTCAATGAAAAGGTTTGAATCTCTCTTGAAGAATTTATAAATGAGGAGTTGCTAACCAAGGCCTGCAAAGTGACATGGGTGGAAATGCCACTGAAGGCAGTTACAGTGCTTTGGAGATCTGGTTTGATTCCTTCCCTTGGGTCTAAGACTAGAGACCCCTGGATCTGGCAGAAAGAAATGGCAAGAGGCTGACATCCCATGTTGGAGACCAAAAAGAAAGTTCACTGAAAGGGGTCCCTCAAGGCAGGACTTATGCTTGGGACTTGGGAGCATGATATTCTTTTGATTTTTAGTTCTTTTCTGAGAATGTTGCCTACAGGAATCATTTATTAACGATCCCAGTTTGGTATCACTGGAGCCTGGGGATTACAACTCGTTTGTCCTTGGGAAAGCAGCCACTGTGAAGCAGTAAGAAAGCGTTTACAGAGGATGAGCAACTTATGGAGAGAGGTTGTTGTCAAGGTGATAAAAGCAGGTAGGACATGTTTTGGAATGTGCTTGTGTCCTTCTGGATGCGTGGGCAAGAATGTGCTACAACCCAGTATTTTCTGCTAATCTAGTAGATGGTTAGGGCCCAGAGCCATTCCTGGCTGTTTAGGGAAATGTTTCCAGTAGGTCTGAGAACTTAGGACTATTGGGTAAATACTTGAGGTTTAAACAAGTTTCACTTTGGTCTCAAGGTCTGTCCACATGTTTGGATTTGTCCTTAGCCTTTGGGAGGATAGTGTCATATCCGCCATCTCTGGGCTGATGTAAACCCTTTTCCTACTCCAGGGAAAGGTTGAAATTTATGTGGACACAAGGAAAACTGAGACACAGTGGGAATCAGGT